CGGGGCATAGAGGACCTACAATAATGTACAGTATTTGAAAAATAATGTGTTTTTTGAACATTAAAGCATGTCAACATTCTGTTACACCAAATACACAAAATAATGATCTTTAAAAAAGCATCATATGACCCCTTTAATTAATCTTTGTTTTTATTACCTTAGATTGAGCGATTTCTATCTACATACACCGCGGGTCCCCTTACATGGAAGTCGCCACAATGTTTCTACAGTAGCCCTAAACGGACAAAGTGCTCTATACAGTGCGTTTCGTCACTTTGTTGTTCTTGCCAATAAAACACTGACACAATGATGAACAAGTACATTAACATTCGCAATAACAGCGATTTATTGAATGTTTAAGTAAATATAATTCCTTAATTTACCTTTGTAAAGAAATCTCATTGCTCTCTGCTGTCTTTACCGACAACATCTTAGTCCTGTATCGGCCACCGTAGCTTCTCTAAAGGGAGGGGGGAGCGGGGGACTGAGCCGTTGGTTGCAATTCGCAACCTCAACGCTAGATGCCGCTCAAATTTACACACTGTACCTTTAAATGTATTTACAGTAGTACTTAGGTGTGAACTGAATGTGATGTTTTGGGACAATTCATTGCATTTTAATTGCAATTACATGAAAATGTATTATAGTTTAAAATTATGCTATTAGCATTGCTTGACTCACTTAAGTACATCTTAAGTACAAATATACTTCAATGTCTTTTCTATTGAAACTTGTAATTACACAATTGCAATGATGAAGGTGCAATTTTGTACATTTAAAATATTAACTTATAAATGTAAATGTAAATATTTATAAATGTAATATTAAATAACAGTAAAGTACTTTATGTGCTTTATGTTAGTCAACACGTCAAAAAAGTGCTTATTAAGAGTATTAACACAATGATTTAAAATGTACTTTAACACTTAATTAGTCATTATTATAGCGCACTTTTTAAAAGTGTTATAAGAAACAGTCGTTAAAGTAAACTCTTTTTAAGTACACTTAAGTGGCCTTTTATTTCACGAATATTACTGTATTGGCCATGAGTAGAGTGTTTATTTATTTGAGTTTTTTTTTTAAATATACGTTTAAGATTGAAGTACCCATACAGTACAATTAAGCACAGTTATTTGGACTTCAGTGTTCAGTATATGAGTCTTTGCTGCTGTATTTTGTGATGGTTGTGCTTTTAACAGAACGTTTGTCTGTTGTCTCTTTTAAATCAGGCGCCGTCACCTAAAGCAGCTGCAGAGGACAGTGTGCGTCTGCTGGAAGAACTTTATCTGTTTGACGTGCTGAGAGCGGACAGAACCACAGCCGCACATGGGTAAGACTAAATGTCCCTTCTCTTCCCACACAAAATTGGTAATTGGTCTTTTTTTTTTTTACAGTATATGTCACTGCAAACGTTTTTTTTTTTGTCTTCATTAGACTGGAGTTGAGAGTGCCTTTCCTGGACCATAGGTTCACCGCATACTACCTCTCTCTGCCTGAAGAGATGAGAGTGCCTAAGGTGGGTTTTCCTGACACCTTACCTTCAGTGATTTATCACCAGTGTTGGTAACGCATTACAAGTAACGCGAGTTACGTAATCAGATTACTTTTTTCAAGTAACTAGTAAAGTAACGCATTACTTTTTAATTTACAAGAGAATATCTGAGTTACTTTTTCAAATAAGTAACGCAA